TAAATAAATAAATAAATAAATAAATTTGTACCCACTTTCCTTTTAAATCCAGCTGGAAGTCAGTAATTCAAACTAACGAATAAACAGTTGTCCTCAACCCATTGGCTCTGGAGCCGTTCAGGCTCTAGGCCCACACCAGGACCACCAGAGCGTTACACAAACATCAGTTCCACCCATATGAAGTTAGAATCCCATGCACAGTTCGTGCACAGTTCTAAGGTCTGAATAGAGTCATGTAAAATCCTACAGGAGGGAAACCGGTCAGCCGAGTCTGTGGCCAAACCTTTTACAGTGTTTGCACATTGTCTTTTACTGCATGTGACAATTCACTCTCTGGAAGTAGAACTGAAGTGACGTTCTTTACAAGGTGATTAGTTAAAACATTTAAAAATGCATCTGCTCTGTTTTGCATTTTGTGACTTTTAGTTGAATAAAAACTGTTTTCCAACCATACATTTCGTCACTGAAGATTTCTTAAAAATTGTGTTAAAACATGGTCTTGTCTCATGAGCTGAGTGTATCATCACACCCCCCTTTCATACTTTAAAGTATTTTTAGTGCCACATATGAGAGTGAACCTGTTACAATCAGCAGTGTTTTAATGCTTCAGTCCCAGGTTAAATCCTGGGGCTGCTATAAGTTGTACAAACCACCAGATGTCGCTGTACTTGCTTTGTTTGAATCTCCAAAGCTTCATCTCCCAATCACTGTGCCTTAGGCTGGACAGCTGCATACAGTCCAGTTCATTCATAGGGGTTCAAAACATAAACACAGGACCCAGAGTTGATTGTGGGTACAGTAAAGCCCTCATACTTCTACTCAGTTATATTACGGTTAATCAGCAGGTACTGCTCGTTTCCTCCCTCACTGATGGGCTAAGCTGTGCTCATTGCAGTAAGCACTGTAGCTGCAAACATGAGGAAATGAAAACCACAGTTCATTCTCTTGACAACAGCCTCTGAGGTTAGCAACACGAGCAGAGGCATTGAGAGGACAGGAGACAACACTCACTCCCTGGTTTCCTCGATGCCTCAGCAGGACCAGCCTTAAAAGGATGAGTCACGCTTTATACTGATTTAGAAGCCGTTGTGAAAGGAATCCCACTAAAGTACTGATAAGAGGTTCTGAACCACAGTCCATTTTCCAGTACTCAGTAGACCCACAGCGTCTCACACAGGTGGGAAAAACTGCTGCTACATCAGAGAAAAATACTTGTATAACTAAAACTCAAGTTCAGAAAATGGAGGAAAGCAGAACGTCCACATTTTAAGAATGTGTCAGTAGAATTCGTCTTCTCATGTGATGATCAGTGTCAGGGTGTCAGTTACCTGATGAGCAGCTGTCCTGTCTGCAGGTCGCCCAGGTAGAAGAAGTGGCGGACACACAGCGCCCCCCGCAGGGTGGCCACTGAACACAGGTGACACAGGTACTGCTCAAACGCCCGGCTCCTCTTGGCGATCGTCTCCGCCACAAAGTTCCGACGCAGCTTCTTTCCTGCACAGATTACAGCAGGAGGAGGTCAGGTTCCAGTGTTTGAGCAGTGACTGCTACCAGGGCAGCAGAATCGCCTTCGGGTTGCCGTTGCTTTTTTTCATTTCTTTTCCCAATGAGGACTTCCCCTGTTGTTGTCACTAACCGGGCCAGGCTGAGGATCTGGACCACCAACCTCCCCTTCACCATCCAAGGCTTCATGTTAAGATAAATGATGTGACTTCTACTTACGTGGGAAGCAGACGCGCTCCATCTGGTCTCCATGGTTACGGCGCAGTGTGGCATGGAGCCGCTGGAAGTCAGAGTATCTGCGGGTGATGATGGCCGGAGACTTGTCGCTGCCGCCGGACTGGATCACATGGATGGTGTAGAGCTGGGGAGAGGCAGCGACAGAGCAGCAGCTGTGAGAGCAACTGTCTGATTCTGAGGGACTGACACCAGAAGTGACATTTCCCACTGATGTCTAATATCACTGATACAGTCTCAGCTGTCTAACCTGTAGACCTGCTGAAAATACCTGGAACGGATGCCACATGTGGCCAGCGATCCACAGGAAGAAGAAACAACCACAAAACTGCCAAGTACGTTACTGTCAGCAGGTGGTTTAGCACACAGAGCCAGGAGCCACCTGACCTGTGTTTGAAATCCTGGACTCGACTCTGTGACGCTTTGTTTGTGGGATGTTTGCCTGAACTCCCGCTGAACCTTCCCTGGGTGTTTGAACTCACCACATATTTTGAGGAGCCGTCCGACACCACGCTGGCGTCGGTCACCTCAAACGACAAGCTGTCCGTGAGTCGTCTCCCAGACGGGACGGGACTTCCTGCTCCGGGTCTACGGAGGTTCCTCCAGCTCTCCTGAAGCTGCTGGGTCAGCAGGGAGGAGGGAGAGGGTCCGACAGGAGACATGCCTGCAGGACTGGTGTCTGCCATGACAAAAGTCTGTTTGTTAGTGATGAACCTGCGATTAATCGAGTCAACACGTGGAATTTATGACAAGTTGTGACGTTACTGTGGCTTGAGCTCACCTGTGCTGCTGAGCCCCTCCTCCATCGACTCCCCCAGGAAGTCAGAGTCACTGTCCAGCCCCGACTCACCGCCCTCGGCTCCGTCCTCGGCTCCTCCTCCGCTGTCAAAGCACAGTGTCCCTCCGAGACGCTCCGTCACACACTCCTCCTCCTCTGCCAGCTCCGCCTCCCAGCGATCCTCATTAAACACCTTCTCCTCCTGTCCACCTCCTGCTTCCTGCTCGAGACCCGCCCCCTGACCATCTCTAAACAGCGAGCGCTTCAGACGGGTCAGCAGCCGGGCCGCCATGATGCTGCCTGGCCACCACAAAGGGGAGGGGCTGAAAAGCAATGGGGGAACACAGAGCTGACGATGTCTGTTTATAAATCACCTCGCAGCTGATTTGACTTTCATAATCTGAAATATTTAAACAATTACTCAAGAAAATAACCATCAATGATATTTTTAAGGAAAATAATCTTTGCCTTCGGCCCTACAGTCTCTTATCAGAAATGAACAAATGTCTCTCCAGAACCTTATGTTTCGTAGGGCTGCATCTATTGATTATTTGTGATTGATTGGTCTGCAGGCTATTTTTTTTTTATCAATTCATTGTTTAGTCCATACAACATCAGAAAACAAAAATGCCTGTTGCAGCTTCCCAGTGTGAGGTTACGTCTCTAAATGTCTGATCGACAGTCAAACACCCAGAGATCATCAGAGGAAAAGATCCGAGCTTGACATTTCACAGGAACCAGGCAGTTTAACAAACTTGGCTTAACAAACCCACTAAAACAGTTAGTTATCAAAATGGCTGCCAATTCTTTTTCTGTCAACCAAATGATCAATGAATCAACTTTCTGTTGCAGTTCTAGTATTTAGTCACTCTTGGTTTTTAGACTAACCAAGGAAGCCTGAGCCGTCGCCGTGGATTCTGGGATATTGTGATGGGCATTTTTCAACATTTACGTCCATTTTTAAAACACCACTTGCAGCCACAATATAGGGAATGTAACAGTATATGTATCCTATCCAGAGGCTCTGCAGACACGAGTAGTAAGTGGAATATTCACAACACACACAATAAATCCAGCACTTCTACTCGGCCACTGCTGCCTGTTCGTCACAGTGAAACGAGAGGTCACACTCAGCAAATACTAGTTGAGCTCTACAAACACAGCGATGCACATCAGCAACCAGCTGAGCTGGCTCCAGTTACATAGCAGAATGGAAATCATGTCACACATTAATAATGCACCGGCTCGCTAAGCCAGGCTTTGTCGTGCACGGCTTCCTCAGGACCCCTCAGTCACAGCTTCAGTGTTCATTGGGGAGACAAACAGCTGGCCGTCATCAGTAAAGACAAAGAACTGTCTGAACTGACATGAACATGGAATACAGTGTGGTTTATAATTAATGTAGCTGTGACCTGTTGTCACCCTCCATAACAGAAACATAGATTAACAGTGCTCCTACGATTGACTCTACATTTACATTCGTGTTAAACGTACTATTTATGGCTTTGTGGAAGCCTCTTCATTGCAGTTTGAAACTAAATGGTTCAGCAAGTTTGTCAATATTCTAAGTTTTGTATTAGCAGCAGCCAGAATGCATATTAACACATCTAATGTCACAGTTAATGACACTGTGTCCCTGGACTAGTTTCTGGTGAGGTTTGTTTTTTGTTGTTGTTCTGTTGGTTTGTTTTCAGGATTGTGTTTACAGTCTACAGTCACATAAGGAATTGAAAGTAATAGCCTAACTTTTAATTTCCTTTCAAATCCTGTTGGTATATATAAATGTAAGGCGGAGGAGAAATGTACGAGGCGTCCCTGAAAGCACCGTGCTGATTAACTCCCAAATGTCATAATGAAAAACTTGAACTCCGTGGACATGGTTCAGGGAAACTTCCTGTGCGGATCACGGCTCACACCGCCAGCAAACAAGCTGCCAACTTCACCAGTTAAACTTAACCAGCTAGTCAGTGAGTTGGTGGTGACATGATAACGTTACCGACGACAGTTAGTTAACTAGCTAACCAGCACTGCCCGTGCGTGAAGCCACCTCTCACGGCTCCTGATCATCCATCTCCGCTCGGTTTAAAACTGGACAGTCCTGTTTCTGTCAGTGACCGGACGAGGTGCTGGGAGCTAAAGGCTCAAACCGCTAGCTCACTGCTGTAAAGCTAGCACACAAGCTAACAACTTTGGTTACTCTTGGTGAGTTGCTGCGGATATGAAACGGACCCTAACCCAGCCCTCTGAGGTTCGGACAACTCACCCTGGGCTTGAAACGGACTGTCTCCGCCCCTGTTAATCCATGTCCACAGGTACAGGTGAGGTTTGAAGCTCCGGTGAGGACCTCCGAGCTGATCTGTCCCGTGGGTGTTTCCAGCTGACTGCCTGTATCCTGATTCCTGGAGCTCTCCTCGGCTACAGCCTGGAGGAGGCAGCTCGCATGTCGGACACTCCCCATATGCTGTTGTGTGCTGTTGTGTGCTACTGTGCACAGGACACCAGTGGGCAGTGAGCCTCTGACTTTACACTTCTCCCCTAATGTGAACACACTGTAACTGCTTCCCCCTACTCAAACACACGGCTCACACATTTAACTTTTTCATGCAGAGCTCTACACAAATGTGTTGATGAATCATTCACTGCACTTTATGCACATTCAGCAAACACCTGCATCAGTGCAATAAAGCCCAGTCATCACCCTTTGAACTCAGTGAGCTCACCTTTTCCCAGGTGTAAACACCAAACCACAGAGATTATGACACAAATGTGTCAAACAAACAATAGACTGTTTCAATTACGCAAATCAAAATGATGAAATGATTTCCTAGAAGTCAAGTTAATATGCAGCAACATGAAGCCTCAAAAGAGAATTTCATGAACCGATTTAATAACAGTGAGGGGACACATTACTGAATGAGGATGACAGACTGGGTTGGAAAGTGGGGCTCAGTGTCTGATTATGAAATCTTGGCATTTACACAGGACATGTTCAAACCAGCGTTTAATCGCTGCGACAAATTGTTGAGCAACCGTGTGTCATCCTGTTCTTCCGCTTCTACCAGTACAACTCAAAAGCAGCATAATGTGATATTAGATGATATAAAAATGTTTCATACCTGTCTTCTATTTGGTGTCTTCAAATTTTCAAAAAAAGAATGAAATCCAAATTGACCCACCTGAGAAAGCCGATTAATAAAAGACAGCCATCCTGTATTCCCACAGTCCTTGAAGGCAACACAATTAGAGGGCGTGGTCAACCTGGAAGGTGACACCAGCAGGTGAAGAGTGTCCACCCTGCAGTAGCAGGAGAACAGACAGCAGAGCTTCAGCTGTAGAACCGTTTCGACGCTCCACTCACCTGAACTGGTAAGAAAACCAGCAGTACCAGCGCTCTGTAGTGGGCCCGGACCAGTAAGAGCTGCTGGGTCTGCTCAGTGTCTTCTTATTGTGTTTGAGTGTTTAAACGTTTGAAGAAGTGCTGTTGAAGCCTGGGTGTGTGTGGCCCAGAGTAAATGAGTGGCAAACTGTGTTATGGTTCATCACTACCGTGGCGTCGGGGTGGAGCAGCGTTTGACGGGATCCCCCGTCGAGGTTTGCTCGAGTTCAGCCCCCCAACTTTTTATGAGCATGTTATTTACTAAATTCACTATTTGGCCGCTCTGTTGAATGTACAAGGGCTCAGCGGGGTGAGACTTTTAGGGCGTTTGAAGGGGCTGATTTTAATTGGCCCTGTATGTGAAGTGGACCGGTGTTCCAGATGAACCGGGTCCGTCCCTGTATGTGAAGTGGACCGGTGTTCCAGATGAACCGGGTCCGTCCCTGTATGTGAAGTGGACCGGTGTTCCAGATGAACCGGGTCCGTCCCTGTATGTGAAGTGGACCGGTGTTCCAGATGAACCGGGTCCGTCCCTGTATGTGAAGTCCACTTGGCGTTCCAGATGAACCGGGTCCGTTAATTCCTGACTCTGGTCTTAACCGGCACACTGAGACAAAGTCACCAGTGAACACTGAAACTAGTTGTGAGTTGTGAACTTCGTGTGTAGAAATGTTAATTCTAAGGTTTGGACACAGTTTCCCATTTGACTGTGTGTGCACATATGTAAAGGGTGGCACAGGAGTTTGTAATGCTCACTGCTGATGGCCTGGTCACGTGTGCAGTGACACAACTGAGTGGCTTATTTGCTGTGTCGAGCGCTTGTACCTGAGCACTGCTTAGATCTGTACCTGTAAAAGAAAAGGCAGATGTTTGGAGAGTAGTTAAGACGTGTGTCATCCGGCCTGGACAGCAGCTGGTGCAGTAATCCACTGAAATGCTGATGATATATAGAGGATATGCCCCAGATCTCCCATGTGATCGTTCCTTCCTCCTTGATTCTCACTCAACCCGGAAGCTGTTCCTGTCAAGTGACGATCAAGGCTCTAGTGTCTGGCCCGGAGGCTGCTGGAGGAGCCATGAGTGAGGATTCACAGGAGCAGAAGTCCATTATGGACCCCCCCTTTATCTGAAATCAGTTAGTGACTGGGTGCTTCGATGGAGGGCCAGAGGACGGGGTGTGTGTCCTTCTCGTATCTTTTCCTTGCTTCCCGCGTAGGCTGATTTGTCAGCCAAGTATTTTGATAAATCTTTTGGCAGTTCCACATAAGAAACTTGGCCCAGTTGCCTTCAGAATCTCCCCAACATCTTTAAATGTTTTGTTTTGTCTGAAGAAGAGTCCAAGACATTCATTTGACAATGACATAGACGTTGGAGAGTCAGAACAGGTTTTAACATGGGGATGACATTGTGTTGCACACGTGTGCTTGTTATTGTGTCCAACCCCTGTGCAGTGCTATGTTAAAATGTGGGATTGTACCACAGACAGCTCTGACAGACCAGCTGTTGTACCCGAGTAAATACAATATATTTTGTAGTGGTTTAAATACTTGTGCAGACTGGTGTGTGAACGTCACACCAAGTGTTTGAACTGAAGTTGTTCTACCGGTTCCGCCACCCCTAGGCCCGGGTGGAGCCGAGGAGCATTGAAACTGACTAAACGTCTGTGTGGGAGCAAATCTGACGGCTGTAAGTAAGAGTTTCATGTTGATGCGATCTCCATGTTCCTTATTTATTAATAGCAGCTAGAAGCCACCGTAGAAACTTCTTCTTTTGCTGTCTAACCTGAGTGCACGTCACGTCCCCTCCGTGGTTGGACCAGTTTGTTCACCTGGAGACTTGTAGATTAAAAGTTCAGCATTTTTTATACATGCACAGTGGAGATGAAAAGTGTCACATTTTTAACTTTATTTTTTTGGTAATGTGAGCTATTGTGACCTTTGACCACCAAAATCTCACTAGTTCCTCCTTGAATCCAAGTGAATGTTTGTGCCAAATTTGAAGAAATTCCCTCCAGGTGTCGCTGAGATATCGTTCACAAGAGTGGGACGGACACACAGCCCAGAAACACAACGCGGCCGGTCGGGGCTGTGGCCGCCACGGAGGCAGAACCTGGTAAAATAAACAGGATATGATGGCAAATAAAATAATGACAGTAAAATGTTGTAATCAAAAGTAAAACCAAAAATGTTTACGTATGTGTAAGTTTATTTGTTGTCATGCCTCCACGCCGACAGAGACGTATTTTCAGGGTGTCTGTCCCTCCGTCCGTCTGGTTCATTCTCACGAACGCCTTGGTGGAATTTGTTCAAACATCCACTTAGATTCTAGGATGAATGGAGTAGATCTTGGTGGTGAAAGGTCAAAGGTCACTGACATCTGTACCTTACACTGGTTGTGACAAAATGGTAATTCCAGTTTAACTCTGGTCTCTACCTGAGATGTCCAGTAGGGAAAACAGGCATACTTTAAAGATGTGGGATTACTCTCTAAGACCAGCTCGGCCCCAGTGACCTCGCTGTGGGTTGAAGATGCTCTTGTGATTCGTGTACATGTCTGTTGTCATGTGACAGACTAAATTTAAATAATGAATTCAGCTCCATGTTTGCAGTTTTTCAGAGGGAGGTAAACGCGACTGCAGGGGGATGTGTCACAGCGAGCGTGCGCTCTGTTTTTGGGGCTCTCTCTCTGTTTTGCTCACTCATAGCCCCTCAGGTCTGAACACACTCGCCCTCCACCAAACCAGTCAAACCTTCACTTTCTCTCTCCCTTGTCCGTGTCTTAGCCAGATAGAGTTGACCAGTTACACAATGAGAGTTTAACTATTAAGTCGCACGCTGACCTTCCTGCTGCAGGTGGCGTTAAACATTTCCCTGCTGGTTGGCAGCACATGTGTTGTTTCTCTTGTAAAACCTCTTTCTACCGCCTCAGTTTCTGATTCCAGAGAACAGATGTAATCAGGCCAGTGTTTCCTAGTAGCTTCCCCCCACTGGCCTCTTGTGTCTGGGGGTCACTGAGGACTCGAGGTGTTTGTCATGTGAGTTTGTTTCCTGTCATGGAAATATAAATACTCATGCTGTCTTTGTATTTGTACCTCATAACCTTCTTTTTCTCTCCCAGACATTCCACACAGGTTCAGTTTCTACACATGCACACTTTATACACACACTCCTCTTTCTTTTATTGCTCTGGGCGACCCCTTGATCGATCAGCATACTGGTAGTGTGTTTATGCTTTTGCCTGATTTGCTTAATAAAACACAAAGACAACTTGAAAGCCTCTTTGTTGATTCCACAACAGAACTTGGTGTCCAAAGTGGGACAAGTCGACCATCCAGCTCTGAGGGACCGACAGAGATTGGTGCCAAAGTAGCTGTCTTCCTGGAGACACCGGACAGCACTCCTATCACCGAACCATAAGGTAAAGACCACATGATACCCTACACATGCTGGACAAGGAATTGGTCGGTGGTACTCTGCAGTCAGCTGCTCTGCACATGCACTGTATGTTCTGCACTCCAAAGTAGCTGCTAACGCTGCTGCAACTGTGTGGACTGTGTGCAGCGTTTTTCTGTCCTGCAACGTTGAGGAGGAGGTGCGTTCGAACGCTGGCAGGAGCTGGTGCATATGCACACACTAGCGCGAATTAGCCTTAGTGTTAACTGTCTGGTCAGACACTGAACAACAAAGATGAACTTTGTCTTCACAAGCTGTTGTTTTATTGTGGACTCTGCACATGAAACCAGGTTTCACATGGATTCATGGGTGTGTTTTTGCTTTCTCCCCAGTCCAGCCATGAGGTGGCGCTGTCCTTCTCTTCCTCTCTTCCTCCTCTTCTCTTCCCTCACGCTCTTTGTGGGGACAGCAACAGTTTCAGGATTCAGGATCTGCTCCTACAATGTGCAGCGTTTCGGCCCCAACAAAATGGCAAACCACAGAATCAGATACACTCTGACACGGGTAGGAAACGCCATCTGTCCTAGACTTCTTCTTTCATTTCCTCCTGCTGTGAACGTATCGTTCCCACTTACTAAAAGGCAGATACACAGTATATTTTACAGCAGTTTGTTTTGGGATGCAGCTGTTTTTTATTTGTATTACTTCACATTCATGTTGGATAACTGTGTCTGGCTCAGAAGGATGACAACATACTTTGTTTATTTCCTCTTTGCACTGAAATGTCCAACTGTTACTCCCTTGTTCCCTTAAGTCTTGTTTTCTTGCACTTATGTATCAATTTAACCAGTCAGTATTTGATTAGTACCTTAGTCATATGTGAGCTGTAGTGTTAGCCTGGTGTTCTGATGGCAAACCTTTCTGTAGATTAAGTGCTATGAACCCGTGGTCCAACGCTCTGTGTCTGCGTGCAGGTCGTCTCTCGCTGTGACATCTGTCTCCTGCAGAACGTGGTGGATCCCACCGGCGAGGCCATCAATAGTCTGCTGTCATCCCTCAACAGGTACAGCAGAAACTATCGAGCCAGGTCACACTGGCTGACCTCTGCTTCAGACTGTAGTTCTCTGGAAGAGTATGAGTCTGCAGCAGGGAGCAAGTGGTTTTAAAGAACACTGGGAAGAGCTGGCTAGTGCTTTAACCAGTAATCAGAAATGCTTTAAAGGTGCAGTATGTGGGACCCAGTGAGCGAAGCCTTCATGCATCGTGTTCAACAGCCGCTTCACAGCAATTAATGTAAATGTCAGACACATTGCACAGTTGGAAAATGAGTGCTGCCGACTTGACCAAGCAAAAACTAACAGCGGCTCACGTGACTGCAGTGCAATTTTAAAGAAGGCTGAATATACACATTTTAAGATTTGCAGTAATGCCATTTTATTTGTTAGGCCTATTGGTAAACATTCAGTCAGACTCCTCCATCTTGGCTGCTCCAAACCCCCTTATTGTAATTGCATGAAAGGAAGTGCAACAAAAGTGGCTGTCTTGACCGAGTTTTTGCAATGGACGGTTCATTTGACCCCAGTTGTCCCGCTTCTTTGTGTCTTTGCTTCCCCGACCACAGGGATTCACACTACCTTTTTCTTGTGTTTAACTATGGTCCATTTATGACAGTGCTTCCTCTTATTTCTAACATTACAACTTTTTGTTTTCCAACTGTCTCTAAATCCAGGCTTCTACTTACACATGAAAACGCAAAATTCACACCAGTATGTGGTTTGTCTGTTCAGGGCCACTGTAGAACACATGAGAGCTCAGCATGACAGCCTCCGTGACAGGGGACCCGCTCCTCTGTAGATATAAAAGGCTCTTTCTAAGATAAAGAAAACACAATGATTCGTATTTTCTGGTGATTACACATAATGACGCTATAGCCTGTTTCTAATAGCAAATCCTTTTAGATCTTACACACTGCACCTTTAAGGTTGTTTGGTAAAATGAAAAAGTCCTTTAATCTTTATAAGGGGTTTTAATGTTTAATGTCATTTTGTGCTTTATAAAGTTTTAAACCAAGTTTTGGGTTGTCAGCTGTTTAATGTTTCCAGTAGGGACAGGACCATCGATTCGATGCATGACATGGTGTGTACGATTTCGATTCAGTCAAGTTACAATTAAAAATTCAGTGACAACAATTTAATGTCTAATAATACATAGTTATGCTACGACTTTATAAATCCTTTCAAATGGTGTGTTATTAGAAAGTGCAAAGACTTGTTCCACTTCTTGGCAAAATTTACAGAAAGGCCATTTTTGAACAGCGAGTTTGTACATTAAAAACACACCTGCACCACTTTTACTTATATCCAAACGTCTTTGTTAATATTTTTAGCTGGTTGTAGCTGATGTTTGTATGTTTGAATTTGGCTATTTCTAAAAAGACTGAAAGTCTTTTAGATGTGTTTAAATGTGTCTGTACTCAAACACTAACATAAACTTTGCTGTAACCACATCATGTATGTTCATACAACATGGTGATCATCACGTGTCTGCCTCCAACAGGAGATTTATCAGGTACAGTGGATTTTCTGAGCATGATAATCTAACCATGATCAATCATCCTCTCTGTACTAACCCTAATGCTTCTAATAATGGGTAACACTTTATTTTGGAGAAGTACTACTATAATCTCCCAGACTGTCAATGAGCACCGTCTCAGCAGATCAGACTAGAGGAAAAGTCGAGTTGCAGAGGTTTATTAATTATTTTAGTATGAAACTGTCATTTAAAATACTGGTTTCTAGGCTTTTACACAAGCAACACTGGATTTCACGACATTTCCACAAATCATATACACAGATGTATTGTCAGGAGAACAATGAACAGTGTGCAGTATCATACTGTATACAAACTGCACATGCAGCATAAGTACACAGAAAGGTGGTAGACCAAGTATTAACCCTTGAGGGACGCCACGTTCCACCCAGTCAGTCTGCTGTGAACAGCATAGTGTGTTCAGACATTTCTCATTTTGATCCTTAAGGATGATTTGGAATCTGATCATCAGAATCAACAGCAGTTAAAGATCCTGGTGAATGCAGTTTGAATAGCTGTAAACCTATTTACTATGCTCTGCTGGAGCATAGTTTTCAACCAATCTTCTCTCTGTCTAGAACTAAACCCACGATTAAAAATGTCCAGATAAAAGTATGAATCCATACATTTAATGATGCTGTACTCACATATGTAAGCCTGTACAGAGTATACGCCATCTTTTGGCTTCACATTAGAAATGGGCCAGTTTAACCCCAGTTACTGGAACAAGTGTCTTCTTAGCTTAGCAGGCAGCTGCTGTCTTGTGGTGACATCCAACAGGGAACAGTCAGATGTTGGTGAATAATTATTAACAATCTCTGGTGGTTGTGGTCCAGTGTGCTCGTTGGCTTGTGAGATGTTACCCAGTTGTTAATGCTAATGGGAGCATGGGATTTGTAAGGTTTACTTACCAACTGCTTGCCCACTGGTGCTCCGGGACAGTTCTGAGGGTGTGAATCACTAATTCTCATGGGATGTGAAACATTATTTCTACAGTGCTTATTTGATTATTGTCTAAATGCAGCTTGTTGTGCACGTGTGGCTCGGTGGGAAACTTCTTGTCAAACAGGTCATTTTAAGGGAAAATATCCAAGGGCTAATGTTGGAGCTAACTGGGGCTGGTCCGGTGGTGAAAGAAGTACTCAGACCTTTTACTTAAGTAAAAGTAATAATATCACAGTGTAGAGATGCTGTTGCAAGTAAAATGTCTGCAATTATAATTGGCTAAATGTACTTAAAGCTGCCATCGGGGTGAGAGTGGGTGAATCTGTAAAGCACTTTGTCCAGGTAAGGTAGAAATGTGTCTAAGTGCAGTTCATTTACCAAAGTATCAAAAGTAAAAGTGCAGTGAAATATGTCCCCCGAGACTGATATGTTTTTATATCTGACATTATTAAACGATAACTATTGACGTACCAGTGTGTAAGCAGCATTTTATCATTGGAGCTTCTCAGACTGGAGCTAGTTTTAACTTTCATTTTTATGTAAAACCTTTACCTTCAAGGTCGCTGGTACGTTAAACTGTCAGATAAATATCACCGAGTAAATCCAGTGAAAATACTCAAGGTACATCAAAACTGTACATAAGAAAATGTATTTGGTTAGTTTGTGTCCCAACAGCGAGGCCACTTTAGCTTCAGCGTTGTCAACCAAAAGCAGAACCTGCAGCAGCTGGTGATGGATTGATGGGCCCCACCCTTTAACTGTCAGCGAATCATAAATCAGGGCTTTGGGTGGCTGTAATGGCGTTGTGTTTAAGAAACTTAGATGTACAGGAACTGGCAGGAAATGTAAGCAAACTCAATTTTTTATAAGTTTAAATATTGTTGAGGTGCTGCAGTGTCAACACACAAATGCACTCAAACACGCCTTTTTGGGGGTGGGGGAAATGAGTTCAAAGATTTTTATGAATAATTTTGTGGGTTTATTTATTTTAGTATAAGTTTAAAAATTGCAACTTGAAACCATAAGAAAGTTGATTTTGAACATTTCTGACACTGGTGGTGGTAAGATTTGAAAACGAGGCTTGACATCACGTCTGGGTAGATCTGAGTGGACAAAGTAAAGTGAAATAGCACAACAAATATTTGCCGACCTGTTTTGTTTTTTTTACCATGAAAACTAAATCAGAATTGACCTTTGATAGGACAATAATGTGAAACACATTGATATGAAGCACAGTAATCAAGTCTTAACACCAAGTCTTGTTCAGTGACCCGCAGCACAAAGTGTAGCTCCTGATTAGCCCCAGTTTGTGCCCCTTGTGTGTCCGCATACACGTGGGTCACAGAGGTAACCATCTGGTTTTCTAAAAGCTTTTCAACAGGCAGTGTTTGACAAATGCAGAAGGTCTTTTAAAAGCACTTCACGTTGTTCTGTCCCCTGGCGCCGACTGTTTCTGAATCAAAACAAAGACGAAGGCCTGCTGGCTACCTGAGCAGCAAACAGTCATAGCTTAGGAATCAGGTTTTTTTTTTTTTTTAATTGTGCAGACAGCTGGAGTCTCTGGGATTCTCAAAATATCATCGGAACATTAGTAGGTGTTCTTAAATGATGCCAACCGATGGTTATCTCTGTGGAAACTCTCCAAATTCTTGTGGGCCTGTGCACACTGCTTCTGTGTTGTGTTGCTGTCTCTTCTTTGTTTTAGTAATCAGCAGTTTCTCTTTGTCTGTATTTTGTGTTGAGGCGTGACAAGTACCGCTACCAGTCTGTGTCCAGTGGGAGTCTAGGAAACTCTTCTGCTGACATGCAGCAGTATGTTTTCCTCTACAGGTAAGACCCAGCACTGTCATCGAGTTGTCCACAGAACCCACCGGCTATTTTCATTGTGGAATAACATTTTAATAATATACTGACTGTTAAAGATAAAGTACAGTGGAAGAGAAATGACAAGAAATATTTTTAGAGAGAGAGAGAGATATCTGCATGTTGTAGTTTCACTGACTGACCAACACTGACTGTGTGAAGGAGAAAATGTAATATAAGGGGGATTTCTCATCATGGTATTTTTACTTCATGGTTTGATCTGTACTAGGGGAAAGTTAATAAAATGGGACTATATTTTGAAACTCGTGCTCCTAACAGCCACCCCCTTCCAGCACTGCAACAGCCCAAAGTGGGTACGCTGGATTAGAAAACAAACGTACCTTTCCCAAGGCACAGCTGTGGAAGGGTTCTGTCGTCATCTGAGGGGGAAGAACTGAAACGAAACCTCTCAGGCATCATAAACCTGTAACTCTTTAATCACACAGAATCGCATCTGGACAAACCTGGGTGGTTTCCAGTCGGGGTTTAGCTTTTTACAAGGCTAAAAATGATGATGGAAATAAAGAACATTTATTAAAGTACTGTACTTGAGTATTTCCATATTCTGTTACTTCATACTTAGACTTCACTACATACGTTTTACTGTACTACATGTACCTGATAACTTCAGTTCCTTTCCAGAATCAGATGAATCAAACCAAATCCAGTAGAACCATCAGACTCTATTGATCCCGTTGGGAAATCCAACCTTTACTCCACCTTTACTTTTTTAGGTTTATATTGGCAGTAACGTTCCTTCTGCTGCCACCATATGACCTGTCCTCCTCTCCAAACAGGGCCCAGTCAGTGGCTGTGACGGGTCGGTACCAGTACGAGAACAACCAGTCTTTCGTGAGACCGCCGTTTGTCGTTCAGTTCCACAGCAATAAAACTGGTCAGTAGACAGAGAAAAACAAGTGAACTAGCTTAGGAACTGAAAAACGTACAGAAACGTTTTGTATATCATACAGTCCAATGTGTAATGTGTTCTTCTTTCTGTTCCACAGAAATCAAGGATTTCATTTTAGTGCCTCTGCACAGTGACCCTGATCGGGCCGTCCAGGAAATCGACCAACTTTACGAAGTCTTTCAGGCAGTCATCAAGAAATGGAACAACAAGGTAAGGAAGTGTAATTTGATAGGGAGACCGACAGGTTAAAGATGCAACAGTTGTACTATCATAGAAGAGCCCTAAGCCTCATTACATGCACTGTCTTCAACTCTCTCTTATAAAAAAAGTTCATTCTTAACTGTTCTTTCCCCATAATTTGCTTAGTGGAACACATCGTTCCCGAGGGGTGATCATTTGGTAGCTAACTAATCATGCGCACAGCATAATCACATCAAAGCACTTCGGTAAATGTTTGTCAACAAGAAAGCAGCAACTCTGGTCTCTATTCTCAGATGTCGCATCATATCTGTTATTTTGTGCCACCAGAGGTAAAACAGAAACCACTCGGAGTGAATGTGACATGTTTATCTGTTCACGTGCAGAATGTGATGTTCCTGGGAGATTTCCACGCCGCCTGTGCCTACGTGACCCGATCTGACAAGATAAACATCAGACTGTTCACCAACACCAATTTCACGTGGTTGATCGGAGACAAAGTGGACACCACCGTCATGGGCAAGGTCAGCTGTGCTTATGACAGGTATGTGCAGGAGAGATGGCAGAGAAAACAAGGTTTTGCATTTATGTATTTTACCAACAGGTGTCACCATTTTTCTTTATTTTGTGGGTCTGTGTGTGCATCAGGATTGTGGTGTACGGGCAGCCCTTCCTGGAGGCGATCATCCCATTTTCAGCACAGGTCTTCAACTTAGCCAAAGAGTTCAAAATCCCCAATACCAAGGTATGACTGTCTGCTTTGGACTGTTTTTAAAAGACAGATTGTTTTTGTGTTTGTATTTCTCTTTTAGTCTTCACAAAAACTAGAACAACAGCGAAAGTATAAACAGATTAAATCATTTATAAGATGCAAACATTAGCATATTCTGGCTAATTAGCGTACTACCTGCATGTGTAAGCGACTGTTAAGTGCCTGAATTTATTTGCTAGCTAAATAAATCTGTGGCGTTAAAAATTCCATAAGAAGAAGCTCCATTCAGGACTGTGTGGGAGCTGCTCCTGGATGAAGCTACGTTAGCTATATGAGGCTACGTCAGTGTTCAGGCTAATGTTAGCTGGATGGGGCTACGTCAGTGTTCAGGCTAATGTTAGCTGGATGGGGCTACGTCAGTGTTCAGGCTAATGTTAGCTGGATGGGGCTACGTCAGTGTTCAGGCTAATGTTAGCTGGATGGGGCTACGTCAGTGTTCAGGCTAATGTTAGCTGGATGGGGCTACGTCAGTGTTCAGGCTAATGTTAGCTGGATGGGGCTACGTCAGTGTTCAGGCTAATGTTAGCTGGATGGGGCTACGTCAGTGTTCAGGCTAATGTTAGCTGGATGGGGCTACGTCAGTGTTCAGGCTAATGTTAGCTGGATGGGGCTACGTCAGTGTTCAGGCTAATGTTAGCTGGATGGGGCTACGTCAGTGTTCAGGCTAATGTTAGCTGGATGGGGCTATGTCAGTGTTTAGGCTAATGTTAGCTGCTCAATCCTTTTCTTTGACTTAGTTTAACAGACCAGTTAATCCTCATTATCTTTTCTTCTCAAATTCAAACGTGGTTTTGGAAATGCATACAGCAGAGTGCGAACATAGGCAGGTTATATACATCTAGAGTAAACATTTGAACTACATTATACTGTGCTATATCTCTTTAAAATCCAAAGTGTTAAACAGAGTGAACAACAGAGATTAATCAGACTAAACATGTTGGACATGTCAGATAATCACCTCTTTTATTAATTGGACCATTTCCATCTAAGACAACAGTTAAAACTTGGATCTTTGTTATTTCAAATGTGTGTCAGGTTGCACAGAAACAACAGCACTCTTACTGCTTCTGTCTGCCAGGTGCTGGAGGTGAGTGACCACTTCCCTGTGGAGGTGACACTAAAGAGCTCCGCCCTTCTGCCTCAGATCACGCCCCTTCTGATCCTGCTCAGTGTGTCTGCGCTCATGCAGTCCTTCATGTCTGCTCTGTGATCGTCTGATTGAGTCTGTTCACCTGCATGTCCAGTCTCTGATCACTAGGGGGGGCTAATTATCAGTTCACCTGCCTTAGTGGTGAACTTCTGTGTTTGTCTTTTTTCTTTTCTTAGAATGAATTGACACATGTGCTTTAAGGGATTTATATGTTCCTGCTGTTTTTTCTCTCAGGAATCAAAAGTACTAAAATGCAGTGAAACGGTGAACAAATCAGCCAGTGCTGCAAACACTTAAAACACTGTGATGTGCTTTACCACTACTTTTCAGGCTTTTTTTATTTTTTCTACTGTGAAACCTGGCTCAGACAAAGTGAAGGAGTTGATGATAACAGTGACACTATCACACAGTCATAATCACAGCACATAGACTTTTAAATCAGCCAATTTTGTGCCTCAGACTCCCAGAAAACCACTGGTACTCTGCTTTAAGTCCCAATATTTAACATTTATAACCAGAATATTGTACAAACATTTAAGAAATGGTTTATAACAGGCACCAGTTTACAAGTGTAAGGTTATTTAAGTGTTAATGTACAGTATTTGTCAGCAATTATGTTTCTTCTGAAGACATATTTGATGTTATATTGTCTTTCATTGCCTGTTTATACAGCAGCCTCCACATCTAGATGTTAGTGTGGCCAAACACGTTAATCTGCTATAAACCATTGATTACATGATTTACTGCTGACATGCCAACCTAAAGGGACTTGAAATGAACTGTTACCACTGCAGTGTATTACAGCTTGGGATTTATTTTTCTAGTTTTCTCTTCGTAAAGATTTTACACAACATGAATGGATTGTTCCTTTAACACTTTTTAGCAGGTGAATAAGAAACCTGTTGTTGATTTTTAGAGAAATGTTTTCCATCATTTGTGTGTTGCCACCTTAAGCCTGTTCCACTCTGTACAGAAACTGATATAAATAGCTGGAATGTGTTTAAGGTGTTTTTTAAAAGATTCAGTAAAGTCTTTTTTTTTAATATTTATGATATTGTCATTGCATGCTACCTGTTGACTGCTCTAAAGCCAGGCCATATTACATAGACACACATTTTTATAAAATGTTTCTGGAAGATTTCTATTCTCAGATGTGATTATTTTGGAAAATAATTAAATTAGGTCTCTGAACAACACTGGCACAGTAGTATTGTGTAGGCTGTCTCCTGGTAGTTTAGCAAGTTTTAATCCATTTATTTACAGGTTGCTTTATTAAATTGCCAACTAATAATGAATTATAGGAATTGTGTTGTGTAGTAGCTGATTGGTCTTTAAAATGTCAGAAATGGGGGCAATGGAGTCCTAAAGCCAAATTTAACATATTCACGTTGTTTTTGTCTGACCAACGGTCAAAAACACAACGATGTGGAGTTTAACACTTGGGTAAAGCACAAATACCTCAAAACCGTACTTAAGGAGAGTCCTTCACTAAATGTAGGGTATTTGGTTTCCATTGCTACCGACGGGAGACCAACCATACCAACTCTGCCCGTAGTTGGTTGTTGGAGGTCTAGCAACAACTTTTTCCACCAACGAGGAAGAAGCGCTAGTTTCCTCCAGGCAGAGATCGTCAATTGTAGTGAAGATGATTAAAATGTATTAAAACCCGACGTTGACCAAAGTGCTTTAAAGACATTAAAATGGTGGTCACATTTAAACTAAAGAAAAGAAATTGTTTAATATTCTATAAATAAAATGAGAAGGTAGCCTGCTGGTTGAGGTAATTGAAAGTTTGATACTATTCATCTAATGTAATTATAGTCTACTCGGCTACAAGTGCCCTTGAGCAAGGCACTTTACCACAGCAGGTTAGACTGTGGTCAAAGTGGGCAGTTTCCAGGTGTGACGGTGCGAATATGATCAGGATGCTCCTGTAAAAGAGAGGTGGCCTGTCAGTGAACCTGACTAAATAAAGCTTGAAAACACCGCTACAGAAAGATGAAAAAAATGACTGAAGAGATCTAAAATGACCAAAAAGAAACATAAAACATCCATTAGAAATACTAGACAGGAGACACAATTACTACAAAGAGACTCGATATGACTGGAAAGACATGCAAGAAAACCACAAAAAAGGGAACATCTTTATAGAAAAACTTAAGAGGGCAAACAAAACACGTTTGTTGTCTTGCTTCTATATTTAAGATGAGAATGGGGGTTGGGGGACTTTTGCATGTTTTGTGCCCGGAGCCTGTTATCTCATAGCTAAATTGTCAGTGTCATTCTCAGTAACCGGAGACAGCGGCAGAGTGTGACCTCTTGGTGCTGCCTTCTCTCTGCTTTAGGAAACGTGGCCTTACAGAGACTCCTGTAGAAGCGGTGCGGTAGATGAATGACAAACACACAGTTTCAGCCTTCACTTCTGTCCATCTGTCATTCTCCACCAGAGCTTCAGGAGTGCCCGCCGTCCCCCAAAACCCCCTTCTGAAGAACCATGTCCGAGGTAGAACAAGTCCCGGCCACGGAGGCCGCCGCCGCGATCCTGGACGCCCTGAACGCCACGGACTCCAACGGGACCGAGGCGCTCAACGCCACGGCTAAGTTCGTGGCCACTCCGGAGGGCACGGCGCTGGCATACGGCAGCCTGGTGTTCATGGCCCTCCTGCCCATATTCTTCGGAGCCCTGCGGTCTGTCAGCTGCTCCAAATCCAAGGTAACGTTCAGCAGCTTCCCCCCTAGAAGGACGTCGGTGTTGATGTTTCACCGGAGTCCGACTGCCGCTAGCCGCTAGCCTCCGCCGGCTAGCTAGCTAGCTTAGCAAGCGACGTAAGGGCAAGGGGATTTAAAACGGTTTTTAAATGTCTTAAATAACGTTCCTCGATAGGGAAAAGCTGAGAATAGCGTTGAACACAAACACATATGTGTTAACAATATAGACAAAGCTATAAAAAAATTACATTTTCTTCAGAACCCACGTTACAGCTGTTGTCATTTTAACGGTTCTTGTCAGTTGCCTGTTAACTTTATTTTTACGGCTGTTCTCTGTTGTGTTTGCGGCCGTGACGCGTGTGGTTGTGAGGTTTTAAAGACTCTAAAAACACAAGTATTGTTTACTTGTGGTCGTTGTTTTGTGTGATTTTCAGTGGGATGCTACTGGACCCAGGTTTTTATTTACAGCCGTGTCCCCGGTGTTTACCTGTTGTCAGGCTTTAACCTGGACACACGTGATCCGGAGAGGTGAACAAAAAGAAACACACAGGAAAGAACGACAGCAAATATATAACAGGCAGGTTAACAGATGGCACGGGAGCGCGCATTTAGCTGCAGGTGTGTGTGGCACAGACTGAGACGTGTACCAAAGGCATCTATTTGGGGGATTTTTGTAGACATGCGCAGTTGTTGGAACAAACAGCCACATCCTGTGCAGCAGCATGGAGGTGAAGGACAGCAGCTCGGAAGACGCCTGGCTGGGAGAAGGAGCACAGTGCCACTTTAACCTGTGGACACCCAGTACTCCCATATGTATAATCAACTTGTACCATCTACTGTTACTGTGTTCATCAGGCTCATATGTAGAGTTTGTGACTTGACGTATAATTAAAAACAGGTTAGGAAGACTGGGCCCCAGTGCAGGAGACCTGAGTGCAGCAGAGGGGATCACACCTGTACTGCCCAGTCTGGACTAATGGCATGAATGCTTTATAAAACAAATCAGTAGTGTTGTGTGTTATTACTGCCTCACCTGAAAGCATAAATCCACCGCTACCGAGTTTCTAAGTAATGTGTGTGACACAATAGGGCTGCAGTGGGAAGCGGATGAGTCAAATGACGGAAAAGTAGCTTGTAAAAGGTTTGAACATTTCTTCAGTCTTTAAGTCACTTTTCATGGGAAAATGCCAAACTGAGCTTGTTCTAGTTTCTCTTGTGGTTCTTGTCGTCTTCTGCTTGTGTTGGTCGGTCAGACCAGAGGAGCAGTGAGAAGGCGTCACTGTGGGCGCTGGGAAAATGAGATTATCTGAATGAATCAGGCAGGTGTTACATGTGCTCAGCAGGATGTTGGATCTGAGGTAGACTGAAGTGCATCTTCTGATGAAGCTAAGCTCAGGTGTGAAACCTCCCTGTAGTTTAGCTTGATGCTGTCACATCACAGGTGATGGTGTGTTGGAGGCAAGTCCAGGCCTCATGTTTACAACTTGTTGCATTACTGACTGGAAAACGTGTAAAACAGCCAAAATGTTATTAGAAACCTGATGTTGCTGCAACCTGAGTTTAGATCCAGATGTGAGGAGTGAGTCACAGATGGAAAATTGTGTGGCGTGTGCCAGCTGATCATAACTGGAACTAGATGCTTGTTGCCATTGTTCATCTGGCAGTGAGAGGAGACCAGTAGAGACCATAGAACCTAGCAGGACAGAGACAGGTGTTCTCTCAGGTGTCACTGTGACGGTGGTTTGAACCCAGCTTCTGAACTTTGTTGCATGTCGCCCCCCCTCTCTCCTCCTCTCTCCTCTGTCAGCCACCTTGCAATGATGTAAAATACCAAAATGTCTGAAAGTCAGATATAAAATCTTTATCCATGAGAAGCTGTTTTCCTCTCACAGTTCAACAGTGATGATTTGTTTCCTGCTTGATTTGCTTTGGGCCCTGCTTCAGTCCTCCTGTGTGGTGTCGATCTGACCCCTCTCTCTCTCCCTGTCTGTCTGTGCACATCTGTCTGTCCGCCCATCCTGTCTGTCTGTCCATCTGTAGGAACTCGGAGAAAATGATTACGATTCTGGGTTCAGAGTGAGTATGAGAGCAGCTGAGAGCACCAAATACACACACACCGTTTGTTGACAGCACTAACACAACAGTAAATACATTCACATGTGAGGTGTTGGCATGGAGTGGACCTACTAACAGCGAGCGAGGACACATCGGTCTGACTAAGTGAAAACATGTTCTTAGGCATTTGTCTCTCCGTTATAAAAGCCTCCAGACCCTCTGCTGTGGCTCCAGGCTCAGCTGCATCCTGTCCGACATGAGTCTGGACCCTGACCGGAGTGGAGAAAGACGCACACCTGTGTGTATAACATGCCACAGTTCACACTTCAGGTCAGGATGCAAACTGGGAAAAGAAGTCCATGGGCTCTATGTAGACCTCTGTGGTCAGACTGTGGTGAGGCCCAGATTAGGACCAGGGCATCAAACCACATCTGAAGTTCTGAGTGTCTCCAGGAGCATGGTGGCCTCTGTAACTGGGACATGGAAGAAGTGTGGAACCAGCGGGACTCTTCCTGGAGATGGCGTCTGACCAGACTGAGGAACTGGGCAAGAAGGGCCTTAGTCAGGGAGAACCCAGAACTAAGAACCAAGCTGTCCCTCTGACAGAGCTTCAGATGTCCTCTGCAGAGATGGAGAAGGTGCTGGAGGACAAGCACTTCAGCAGTATCTCCAGAACATCTGTGGAGAGACCTGAAGAGTTCAGACACCTCCCATCCAGCCTGATGGAGCCTGAGAGGATCTGCAGGAAGAACGGGATCAACTGAAGAAGTCCAGGCGTGCACAGCTGGTCGAGACTCGGCCTAGAAGCCTGGAGCTGAACTAGCTGCCACACAGTCTGAGGACTTTTGTAAATGACAGATTTCAGGGTTGTTTTTTTTAATTAAGTTTGCAAAACTTGTTTTCACTTAATCATTCTTGAGTGGACAAAAAACTCAGGTTGTATCAGTTTCAGATGAGATGTCCAGCAAAGTGAAGGGATCCGAGTACGTCAGTGTGGAGTGAGGGGCGGGAACAGGTCGTCAGTCGCTCACAGCACTGACACACAAACATCTACAGTCTTCTTCTGACTCCTTTAACATGGGGCTCACTTTTAGTGCAGCTACAAGGACCCTCTTCTTCTGTCCTCATCTCCTCTTTCCTTTTCCCTCCTTCCCTTATTCCTCCTCTCATCCTGTCTTCTTCCTCTGTCCTAGTTTCTCTCTCTGGGGAGAAGATGGAGGAGAATATAGATGGAGGAGACTCTCAGGGGCTTGTCACTCTGCTGTAGTCTCTGTCTGTCTGTGTCCTTCAGAGCTCAGTGTTGGACAACAGCTTCACCTCACAGGAGGACAAACCTTACGTGTATGACATCGGAAACTAGAGCTGCAACTTTTCCGAATGTCAAGTCTCAACAAGTGTGCATGCAGCTGTTTACAGAGAAAATACTGACCAGTGATTCAATGCAGACTTAAGGTGATATGTAACTACATAAACATAAACACAACTGTGAGAGTAAAACATATAAACTTATGTATGCTATATAATAAAACCCTAACTAATTATATATTTCTATCTAAAAATGAAAATCACCCTAACACAGCCTACATGCAGAGTAATGAGTGGGAGGTACGGCGAGCTGGCAGGTCAGCAGGGCAGCTGTAGGTCAGACTGGTGGAGAATCCTAAGAGGCCACAGGTCAAATGACCTGTTTGTTAGTGGGACTTGGCTGATTGAGCCAGTAAACACACAGCAGCGTCTTCTCAGCGCTGTGATGTCAACATCTGGAGCATTCTCCTGACATGCTGAAACGGTGCTGCCAGCTCAACACCTTTCTCATTTTGGACTGGTAATCTGTGCAGAGGTGCTTCTGGTTTCTGGTTAGTGTGAAAGCAGAACGCAGATCAGGCCGCATACAGACTCGCGTTCGCCCTGCGTTCGTTGAGTCCAGCAAACCTCCTGGACCTCCTCAGGTTTACTCCACTGTGTCACAGGGACCCGGAGAATCAGCCCCTTGTGTTATGTTCTTTTAACCATTAAATACAGATGTGTTTTTGGTATGAACACCCAACCAGTCGGTTTAAGGTTTGTTTGGTCATTATACAAGCTGCTGAAAATCTGGATAGTTATACAATTCAGTTTTTGTTTCAGTGCAGGTTGAGTCTGATAAAAGAACCTTTAATAATTCAGATGATGCTGCATGTGGAGACAGTCTTCATCCATGGTTGTGTCTAGTCAGAAGGTGCAGAGCTTTAAGCATCATTCTTTATTTTATTATTCTTGTACTCACCAAAAGTGTGAGACCTTGGAGCACTGTGACCTGTCTGGTGGTGGTACTGGTGGACATGGTGGTCCCAACTACTCAAATCAGACCTGGTCTTAAGGCCAGGGTGTCTGCAGGTGTTGGAGGGGGTTAAAAGTCCTGGTTTCAGTTTCCTTTAAAAAATAAAAGGGGCCTTAGAAAGTATTAAAAAGCCTGAAATTTAATTCACAAGCATATTAAATGCAGCCTGCTATGTGCAGTGATGTTACTTATTTTAGCCCAGTAGCAGTAATGCTGCCGACCTCTGCCCTTGTATGACGTGTTTACTTTCTAATTGCTTAATTAGTTTTCTGCCGCATGTCCAGGCCACGTTTGATGATGATGTCAGTGGAGATTACTGCTATATGCTGAGAGAAGTGACAGAAATGTGATGTGTCAGTAACTCTAGGTCACACATTTATACTTGAATGCCACATAAATGATCTGAGCTCGGGGTCTTGGTTATACTTAAAACTGAATTTGTATTGTTTTCACTTAACTAATTGTTTTTTTTTTACATTAAAAGCTACAGCGTCCATCTCACTGTCTGTGTATCGATCCCTCCTCTGTCTGTCCCCTCCCAGAATGCAGCTGACATGCCAGAGACCATCACCAGCCGAGATGCAGCCAGGTTCCCCATCATCGCCAGCTGTACTCTGTTTGGCCTTTACCTCTTCTTCAAGGTAACTCGGGGTCTCTTATCACTCCCCAGGTGCCCGGAGCAGGGCAACTGAACTAGGTTTCACTGTGGGGGGCTTGGGTCAGTGCACCCACTGTTTGCTTCCACTCAGAATCACGTGTGTTTCGGTGCAGGTATTTTCTCAAGAGTACATCAACCTGCTGCTGTCTGTCTACTTCTTTGTGCTGGGTGTCCTGGCTCTGTCTCACACTATGAGGTAAAGCAGCACAGGTGGACGTGTCGCAAAATGTCACGGATTCAGATACACGCAAAGTAAATGAGCATCCACGTTTACTGATTGTTGTTCTTGTCTCTCAGTCCTCTGATGTCCAGAATCTTTCCAGCCTCTTTCCCAAACAAACAGTACCAGCTGCTCTTCACTCAGGGCTCTGGGGAGGCCAAAGAAGGTGAGCTGTGCTGGAGGTGTATCTCAGAGACATTTTGTCATTTGGGTGAAGCAACTTTTCAACCTGAGATGTCAATTTAAATCTGACCCAGAGAATTCAGACCTTTATCTCTGTCTTTCTGCAGAAATAGTCAACTATGAGTTTGACACCAAGAACCTGGTGTGTCTGCTCATCAGCAGCGTGGTGGGAGTCTGGTACCTGCTCAAAAAGGTAACGTCGCCCAGTTAAGCGGAAGCTTTTAGTATCAGCTGTCATCAGTCAGATCGCACAGAGATGCTGTCGTTTTTGTGACCACATGTGCCTAAGAACATGTTTGTAGTACAGTGTTAGTGTTTTATGACACGGCCCTGGTCAACCAGTCACAGCAGTAAGAAAACCTGTTTGGACTCTGTGATGCTAGAACAGTAGCTATGTGGCATCAGAACACAGCCAATAACCTGTCAGCGTTTTGTGACATCACAGCACTGGATAGCCAATAACCTGTTTGGCCTGGCGTTTGCTCTGAACGGGGTGGAGCTGCTCCACCTGAACAACGTCAGCACGGGCTGCATCCTACTGGGGGGGCTGTTCGTCTACGACGTGTTCTGGGTAGGTTTGCACTTGATTTGGTGCTCGTTTTTCATTCACGTTATTGTTGGTGATAAAGAGTCAAGTTTAAATATCAATTATAAGAAACTGATAGATTAGTGATTAGAGTCATTCACTGGGAAAGAGCCAATCAGAAGGGAATCGCCTGCAGATGTGGGGCCCTTTAAACTGGAAAGTGTGGAATATTTAACCATTTAAACCAAATATATTTTATGCTGCCTTTTAATACGTAATCAAATGTGTGTGTATGGAAATGCTCAGTTCTCTGAGAGCTTGATTAAGGAAATGAAAAATAACGTTTGATAGAAGCCATGAGAACAGCCTCGCTGCTAGGTGTCACATCAAGAGCTCTGTGGTCCCACTGCTTTTAATCACCCAACCACAGAGAGGTCAGAGGTCAGGCTCAGGTGCAGACGAGCTGCTGGACACTGACAACATGGTCTCCAACACTAACTCATCACATGCGCACACCAGTACATCTGTGAAGAGGAGTTACACATCAGTTTGCCAGGTTTAATCCACTCCTCTCTCTCTCTCTCTCTCTCTCCAGGTGTTTGGGACCAACGTCATGGTAACGGTTGCCAAGTCCTTCGAAGCACCAATCAAATGTAAGAACGTGAGACTGAGCGTGTGCAGTTTGTGATGTTTCTGCCACATGTTAGCATGACTGTGTGTGGGTCCATGAGTCACAGCCTCTGTGGCCACGTAGAGGACGTGCTTATCTTTAGACGCTCTGGGAGCCGCGCCGCCTGTATGTGTCGCTCGGATCCAATCGGACACACTTTGGTTTAGTTTTATATGTGGGACATGTCTGATTTATTGTACCAGGTGGTGATGGTGTGGCTCTCGCTCTTGCTCTCTCTCTCTCACACTCTCTCTCTCTCTCACACTCTCTCTCTCTCTCTCTCTCTCTCCTCCAGTGGTCTTTCCTCAGGACTTGCTGGAGAAAGGCCTTGAAGCCAGTAACTTTGCCATGCTGGGCCTGGGTGATATTGTCATCCCGGGTATCTTCATCGCCCTGCTGCTGCGCTTCGACGTCAGGTAACAGCCTGTCCTCTTCTTCTGTGTCAGATTGAGGCCAGAGTCTGCCTCTTCTTACCTCCTCCGTGTTCTTGTTCGTTCTCTCTCTCCTCAGCTGAGCTGCATTTTGGGCTTGAATGTTATTTAGGATCATAATGAGTTTTTGTTCAAACCGTGTTTCTGTCTGCAGCCTGAATAAGAACAGCAAGACGTATTTCTACTCCAGTTTCCTGGCCTACATCTTCGGGCTGGGCCTCACCATCTTCGTCATGCACACCTTCAAACACGCACAGGTATGGTTGTCTGTGCACGTCCTTGTACTGACCTGAAAGACGAGCTCTGTGGAAACTGGATTTTACTGTTAGACACTGGTTCACAATATTTGAAGTGATTAAACTGCAGCACATTTGAACAGTCTGAACCGTCCTCCCCAAAGAGGGACAGGGCCGACGGCACAGCCAGTCGATCCCAGGAATCCTGACTGAAAGAGCCTGTGGAGAAGTGTGCAGCTCATACCAGCCTCTGTGCTAAAGATTTGGAATATGCTTAGAGCCTTGAATTTTCAATGAAAGGTTATGGCACATTTTTTATACTGTCATGGTGGAAAAGGGCGGCACGGTGGCGCAGTGGTTAGCTCCGTTGCCTCACAGCGAGAAGGTTCCGGGTTCGGGCCCCACCTGGGACCTTTCTGTGTGGAGTTTGCATGTTCTCCCCGTGCTTGCGTGGGTTCTCTCTGGGTACTCCAGCTTCCTCCCACAGTCCAAAGACATGCAGCTTAGGTTGATTGGTGTCTCTAAATTGCCCATAGGAGTGCGTGTGTGTGATTGTTCGTCTATGTGTTAGCCCTGCGATGGATTGGCGACCTGTCCAGGGTGTACCCCGCCTTCACCCGATTGCCAGCTGGGATTGGACTTCCCCCCGACCCCGTTCAGGGATTAAGCAGTAGAAAATGAATGAATGAATGGTGGAAAAGCAACTGAAACGTATTTTAAACCATCGCTGGGACACTGAGGCTTTCCTGTGTGCAGCCCACACTGATGCAGAGAATATATTAAAGCTTCCTTTTGTGACATCAGTCCTTCACATCAGTTTGTATTGACTCTCAGACATTTGCCCCCTTTTGATCACGTTGATATTAGGAACCACAGAAACTTGGCTCGTTTTTGTTTTTACTGCCTCTGATTTGTGAAAATTGGGCAAAGTAATAATATAAATAATCAGAATCCATTTTAACTCGAGCAGACATAAATGCAGAACAAGTCTAAGTAGTAAATGTAGTTCGTTCTCTTTATTCCCTCGTTTACACACGAGTTCATCTCGTTCTTTGTAACATCAGTAATCGTTAGTGACCCCTTCTGTTTTAATGTTGACTGTTCGCTCCATTGATAGTTTACTAAGAGAACAAAGCTGTGTGTGACAACCCCCACCCGGTAAACGGGGCTAAAGATAAAATGTCCTGTCTGTGTCTGTGTGCAGCCTGCTCTGCTCTACCTGGTCCCGGCCTGCGTCGGCTTCCCCGTCATCGTAGCACTGTTCAAAGGAGAGCTCACAGAGATGTTCAGGTGAGTAGCGCTGGCAGCCACGTAGCCTCGTGGTCGTTTGGAGTTAGGTCTCCAAGTCTGAGCTGTGTCTAAAATCACTCTCTCCTTCCCTCATGCATTGTTCCCTGTCTGATGTTCACTCAGTAGTGAGCAGTGAGGTTATTGCTTGTAATCTTTTTCTGTCATCACTCGCAGCTGTCGAGCTGCTCGGTGCGTGTTTACTGTTGTGTGAGAAGTGGAGCACTGCATTATGTACATGTGTACATGCAGTGAGGTTTCAGAGGGCACTGATACTGGATCTGTTCACACACTCAGCATTTAGGCTCTCGTTAACATGGGCAGTAATGTAGGTCACCATATAGTGAAGAGGGAGCGATTTTGGACCCAGTCTCACTGACCCACTTTGTCTGGCACAGCGGAGAGTAATAAAATGGGAATGGTAAATGGACTTGTGTAGCCTTTTTCTGTGCACACTCAGAGTGCTTTAACACTATTTGCCTGTTCACTGACACAAGCTTTGACACATTCAGACATGGTAACATGACCGGGAGCAACTTGGGGTTCAGTGTCTTGAGCTGCCAGATTCCCTGCAAAGGAGGAAAAACACCAAACTGACAAGGGACCATTTATATTGTATGTCTCTGAGGAGAGCACTGGAAAGAATGTTGTTCTGTTGAAAGAGTCAGAACCTGAGTCAGAACCTGCTGAGTCTTGTGTTGGAGCTGCACAGTGACTGGCTCTGAAACAAACCAACCACTGTAGCTCAACTGGAGCGTGCACACTGCAGACATGTGTCCGCTCACTTTAGAGTTGGCTACATGCAGGACAGATGCTACGTTTGATGATGCAACATTTTATTTTCATCACTTAAACATCCGCCCACAAAAAACAGGTGATAAAACCTGAGGGCTCCACCCACCAGTATGTGGTCACATGACCGAGAACATCCCTTCAGATGAACAAAACATGCATGTCTTTTTATTAGATAATGTTCAGTGTGTGGGCTTCTGACCTGTTGTTTCTTTGGCCCAATCCCAGTCCTCCCCCTTACCCCTAGCACTGAGCCCTAACCCCTTCACATGGAGTGGTAGGGGCGTCCCAGTCCTCTTTAGGATGGAGGGGTCGGGATACACAGGCCTGCAAATGGAGGGTTTTCAGAGGCAGGTTCAAACCACAGTGGTATGAGGCTAATTATGAAAACAATTACTTGCAGCTGATGCTACAAACCCACCACCATGCCCTGGTGTAAATATCAATATCAGAATCGTTTACTTCACCCTCATTACCTCACAGGGGGCTTGAAGGTTTTAACCTGTACTCCTCGTAACTCTGTTTTGAGGCTTCACTGAAAAACGAGGGGTAGGGGTAAAAATAAAACATGCAACTGGGCCTTTGTCTCATCTCTTCATCCTCCACCCTCCTCATCACCCTGTCTTTGACAGCTGTTCCTCTCCTCCAGGGCTGTTGTCCTTCACCTCCATCACTTGTCCTTCTCGTCTCCCTGACATTCACATCCTCCTTTGTTTTCCTTCATCCTCTGGCTCACTTTCACATCTCATCCTCTCCTTATCCTCCATCCCTCTCACTTCTCAGATGTTTTAGCCATAGAGCTCTGTAGGAACGTTGAGCTTTAGAGTTTGAAATACAAACTTAACACCTTCTCTTTCTCTGTCTTGTCCTGTCTTTCTCTCCATTTTCTTTCATCTTGACTTTTTTCACCTTATATATTTTTACCATCCATTCTGTCCTCTCCCCTGCCTCTACGTCTTTTCCTCCCCTCCCTCCCTACCTCCGTCTCCCGCCTGGTTAGCTATGAGTCCTCAGAGGAAGTTTTCCCTGGTTCTCCCAGACTCACTTTCTTCCCAACTGTCAGCGGCTCACCTGCCAGCCTGGCTAGCTCCATGGATGCCATCTCTATGGTGACAGGCTCCTCCCCCCATCGTCGCAGGTTACAGCCCACCTCCATGTAGAGGCCCCGCCCCCTTCTCTTTCCTCTGCCCTTCCTGTCTCACCTGGGCAGGTAAACAGCCCTTTGACCCTGTTCATGTGTGCCGTCACCATCAGTCCAAGCTTATTAACATGAACAGGATTATCTCAGTCTTTTCTTTAACGGAGTAAAAAATGACCTTTTAAATGTTTAGGTTCAGTTTAATTCATGTTCATAGTGGAAACATTTCTGCACTCGCCTCCTCACACAGTCGCTAAACCAGGCTTTGTGCACCTGAGCTGCAGGAGCCCAGAACAGCAGTGTCTCCTTTTGTTCAACCCATTTATATCAGCCAGACCAGTCTGAGTAGCACCAGCTGTGTATGTTAGGGCTGTGATAACACCTGCACTTTCTAGGTGGTGTTTGCTTCACTGCAGGTGGTTAATGTTGGTTTCCCACTGAAGTCGACTTGTTCCAGCAGAGCGATACCTGCTCGATGTGTCCGTTGTTTCTGGCTCGAGCTGTAGCTGCACCTACAAATATACAAATATTCAGTTTATCACAGCAAGAACTGATGATTTTGTGATTTGTGGAAAAGAAGAGATGGTTGCTGATTGATGAGGTTAATCTCACTGGGCCTTGTTGCCCCTTCTCCTCCAGGTATGAGGAGTCTTCACCTGAGGAGACGAGGCCTAAAGAGGACTCATCAGAATCAGAGAAGAAGCACCAATAGCATCCATCACTGCCCCTCCCTTCCCCCTCCCCCCAAACACCTTCCATCCAGCCTGCTGCCACTGAAGCCACTCCCCCTTCTGCCTCTCCAGCTTCCTGTTTGTCGCCGGGGGAAACGGGGTTCATGTTGCCAACGTGTTTCATCTTTGAAAACCATGGGATCGGCTGCTGGTCTCTGTGGTAATGGCGGCTGTCATGCTACCAGTGGTGGTGTTTATAATTAAAGGTTGTTTCATCACAACAGTCACGACTCGGTACCTACCACGTTTCCTCTCTCTGCCTCTCCGTTGCACTTGCACAGGAACCATCCTGGTTTTATCGTCACTTCATGGAGCAAAACCTTATGTAGAAGTATGTGTGGAAGCAGCTGCAGCATCATCGGTCTGGTCCTCCTGTGTCCGCAGCTTGTCGGCTCAGACTGACCAGGACATGTTTCCACAGTTTGAAGCAGTGCTCCGTTTATCAGTGGGGAAAACATCACACGGTGAAAGAAGCGTTTCAGCCGTCTTCTGTTTTTCAGCTTTGTCTTTGAACCCTTCAAATGAGGAACCATGAGTCCAATTCGGTGAAATCATCCCGCAGTGCACCTCCTCCATCAGACAGCCCGCTCCAGCCCACATCCTAGGAAACGGGGGAAACCAGTCATCCAGGCATGGTTCTGTGTTTCCAGGCCTCTGCTCACTCTGCCCTCTGCTTTCCCAAGTCAGCATTTTCACTTGGTTTGCTTGTTTTACTTGGTTTTATGTTTTTCATGTGAAAGGCCAGAATTTTAAGATGAGATTTTTCAGTTCATTTGTCAAAGCTGTTACCTGTATGTATGTGAATCAGTTGTTTTCCCAGCAGCTCGCCAGGTAATAAACCTCACTCTCCATCAGGCCTGTGGTGCCGATGTGGCTTCACATTCAAACCTTTGTGCAGGTTTGTACAGCGGCTTGTAGTTTTGGGGTGGAGTCCATTATATTCGGTCAGTGCTTGACTCGTGGTGACCGATGGAGGTCCAACTCTGACATGAGAGGATGCAAAGATAAAACAGTTCAGTTTCCAGTCATGACTCCACCTCTGCTCCCTGCAGAGACTTTCCTGGAGGTATTATTCACCAATGTTGTGTCGGTGTGTCTCTTCACACTCTGACTTCTGTCTTTGGCTCTTAGCTCCAAACCTAATTGTCACCTGTAAAACACCTCACTAATCTATAGTTTAGTTCTAAAAGAGGCTCAGACATTTTGTAAAACTGCTCCCTGTAGTTTTTATCAAGCAGGAGGATGTAGTGCATTAATTGGGGATTATTTTCACTGGTGGATTAATCCACCAAATGCAATTGGATGACATTAAGAAACATCTTTAAAGAGTCCTCTGTTATGACTCATCCGTACCTGAGATGAACGCTGACCTCTCAGGCTGCAGTGTTCTTGGTGTTTTTCCCAACCCTCCGGGCAGCCACTGGTTCCAGGTCAGTTTTATGAAGGTGGTCTTGCAGAGATCTGAGATGTGTTGCTGCAGAGATGCATGAATCACCATTTCTGCTTTGATTTCATTTTAGTGTGATAATACAGAGCAGACTTAAAGTGGAAACCAGCTGATGTCTGGATGGTGGAACAACACTCAGGACTCAACGGAAACTTTTTTGTACAAAGCACATAAAAAAAAACCCACTGGTCTGGTTCGTTAGTTCAGAGCCTGTGTTGTGCCTGACAGGTGTGCAGCGCTCCTGGATAACACAGTGAAACTGAGACAACAGCTGTAGTTACAAAACAAAAATGACCAAAGGTTTTTCCCAAGCTCAGCTCTGTTGGTTCTGGTTCTGGCGGAGCAGATTGTTTACCTGCCTGGTTCTACATTCAAAGTTTTGGCCTGTGAGAGGAGTAAAGGGAGTGCTCAACACGCCCGGTGCTCCCAGTCCTCAGACCACAGTGGTGAATAGGTTCAACAAAAAGCTGTGAGAATGAGGTGAGGAGATGGGAGGTTGGGGCTTCTCCCAACAGCGTCCTCAGACTGATCCAGTCTGGGTTTGAACAAGCTCCAGTCTCTCAGAGCTTTCTATGATCAATCTCAAATTATTCAGCAAATACTTTGCTAATTGATTCCTCGCAAATCATTTTTCAACCATAATCTTGGACTATTCCGTGGTTAACAAGGCTCCGCCGTTACCTTTTTGTATTATTGTATAGTGAGTAGTTTTGGGTTTGGGGCTGTTGCAGACAAAATGGACCTTGTGTAGTAATAATCCTTATTTGTAGAACACTTTTTCAAAACTCAGGTTAGAGAAGCTTCACACAGGGCAGCAAATTAGAAACGGAATCCTAAGACAAAATGTATAAAACCCAGTCCAGTGGTGCAAGAAAATAAGTAAAAAGGGAATTAAAGTAGAATAAAAGACTAAATCAGGGTAGGCCTTGTGGTAAAAGCCTTTTTCAGCTGGGATTTCAAAGGTGTCACTGACCTGATTTTCTCAGGCCAAATGGTTCATTGAGAAAAGAGTCTTCAGATAATTGAATCATAATTGGAGCACCTTAGTTTTCTTGACCAAGATAGGAGCCAAACATCAGCATCAATAGTGAAACCAAGAACGTGTACAAGTTCTGGAGGAGACCTGCTGTGGGTTTGCATGAAAATATACAGGTTTCAAGATGTAACAGTTCATTAAACGCCGCTGTCAGGTGCTGCAAACGTGCTGAACCAAATACTGGAGCTATTCAGTAAATATACCGCAGCCATAGACAGTGTGCAGTGCTTTCTCTTGGCTCACACCTCACACCTTTCCTGACGTGTAAAGAAAATGTCGTGTTTGACTCCATTTTAAGATCAGACTTTGGAGAAAAATACAAGAATTTAAAGCTCGGTGTCAATACTGTGGTATAAAAGAGATAATCTGCCAATTAACTTTCATCTGTGTAAAGTTGAGGGACTCACTAAAGATGGATTCAAATAAGAATGATCAAAACTGAAGCAATAGGAGCTGAGTTGCCCTGATTTTTAGCTTCAAATTTTGGTTGAGTTCCTCAAAAAAAGTGCTGGAAACTACATTTCCCAGAATGCATTTGATAGAAACAATGGCGCCACTGTTTCTGTATAGGCTGACTGCTGTGTAAAATTGGTGGAGTATCCCTTTAAAGGTAATTTCTTTTAGGGATTTAGTGAAAAGTGTCTTTGGAGAAAACGCAGAATTTCAAAATAAAAGTTCAAATTTAAATGAAACTTGTTATTTAGACTCCCGAGATTTAAAACTTCTGACTTTAGCTTAAAATATTAGCTGTCACATGACTTTTTTTATTAATTTATTCTCATCACATGGTGTTACGGGAGGTCATTTTTACTGAACATCTTGCACAATGTGAGCATTCACCTTTCTGGAGGACACTCTGTGTTTAGCTGTTCAGTTCCTTTCCTTTCCTTTTGGATGCCTGAGGAAGCTCCTCCATCTGGACATATTCAGCCTGACATTAATGTTATACCGGTTATTGATGTTGGTGCATAGTTTTCTGTTTTGATGTTTAAAAATGTTTTAATGTTCATATTCAACGCAGTGAAGTTCAGTAGCCCCTCATCATTTCAAATGTAATGTAACTGAAAACCTTTGTTTTTCTGTCTCTTTCTGGTTGTATTTGTTCAGGAGGTCGTTTTACTGCCCCGACTGTATCTTTTTATTTGCAATAAACCTTTTGGTGTTTTGATCACCATGTTGAGAAGCATAACTCTGAGTCACTCTGCTTCTTTGACGTCTGGAGATTTAATGCTTTTTTTTAAGAGCATGATTATTATCAATTAACTCAATTACTCAAAGTAATAGATATGTCAACCCAGGTAACTGCTTGTTATGACACATCCAAAGATGTCCCGTCTCCGGGCAGCTAATGCAAATGGTGTAGTTCGAGTTTCAGAAATCCAATAAATTGATTAATAAAAGAGGATTCAGCATTCCTTTATTCATATGTTTACTTTCATTAAATAAATACTTTCTTAATTGTTCAAATAATTAACTTCATCTTATTTTTATTAACTGAACTCTTATTGAATACATTTGTTGGAAGTAAAAGCACACTGAATACAGCATGATTCTTTAGAGAAGATCCAAATATAATGTGATATCATTACATTGCATGCACCTTCCATACTATGTGTTGCTTGGACAGTTATTCATTTGTTGGTTTACTTTGCAATCAATTTGTTGACAGTTCATAAAAAAGATGAGAAGCATGTTAATCTCAAATGGTAAATTTGTCATTCCTTTATTCATTTTTTATTATTGTTTGTTACTTAATTGTTTAGTAGTTTCGGGGCAAAGTTAAGAGCAAATTATTTTTTCTGCCATTGGTCAGTGGTGCTGACTGGTTGATTAAATCAAATCAAATCCAATTTTATTCTGAACAAAGTTATAAATTCGGCCGAGATATCGGACATACGTTTATTTATTTGATTATTAATTAGTTAACGATTTACTTAATTATTTGGTAGTTTAGGGGAAAATTAGGTTTTAATACGTATTTAGTGCAGAAAACATTAGGCTTTTATTCTGGAAAAACTATACCCGGAAGTATTGTCGCAGTTCCGGAAAGCAGGACAAACAGGTTCCGGTGGTTTTTAACCTGTTTTAGCCTTTTAGTGTAAAATGGGGGAGGCAGACGTGACACTGAATCAGACAGACGAGAAGCCCCCAGACCCAGGGTTGGCTCCCGGAGAGGACTCGGTTGTGTGGAGCCATGAGGTGGAGGTTTGTCTGTTTCACGCGATGATCGGACACAAACCCGTCGGTAAGAGCCAATTACGGGTAGCATGCTAGCTGCTAACAGCGCAGTTCTACCAGGTTACGCCAGTGGTTCTCTGAGTGTGGACCGGCTGTATGCCTCTGACGGGGTCCGTGTAAATCCTGGAGAGCTGTTAGTTAACGTTACACACCAGATCAGATGTCTCTCCTTCATACGGAGAAGACAAATGTAACGGTAGCTTTTAGTTTGCCGACACTTTAATAAACACACATTTACGAGGCATTTCTCCAGATGTGGTAATTTCCGCCTTGTGTGTTTTTGCTCCAATTTAAACTTAACTTTGTGTCTTATTATGTGAATCATTTTCGTTTAAATCGAGCTGATTGTGTCTCATTAGAGAACCAATCAAAGCTACTCGGGCTGTACATGTATAAACACTCACCACACTGACATGTTTAAATATTGGTTTTAATCTAATCTCATCTGGACTCATCAGATGACGTCTATATGATGCCTTGTTGGGTCACGTGGTGGACAACACCTGATGAAGTCTAATAATGACATGTTTGCCTAACAAACTAATCTTGTGCACACATCTTCCTCTTATTCTGATTCCTTTTTTTGCCCAAGTAGCTCAGTTTTCTCTGGGGTGTGCGTGAACCCTGTCACTGTCCCTGTGTCCAGGTGTGAACCGTCACTTCCATATGATCTGTATCAGAGATAAGTTCAGTCAGAACATCGGCCGGCAGGTGTCTGCCTCTGTCATCTGGGATCATCTGGGAACCATGTACGACATGCAGGCTCTGGTGAGGACATGCTCACACATTAATACGCTGTGCGTTTGCATGCTGAGCTGACCACTGAGCGAGTTGTGTTTGTGTGTGATGCAGCACGAGTCGGAGATCTTGCCGTTTCCTAACACAGAGAAAAGCTTCTCTCTGCCTGAGGACATCATCCAGGAGGTGAAAGAAGGTGGGACACGACTTTCTTTCTGTTAGTGCTGAAACAAAGTGTGTACACGACACCTGGTGCTTTAAAAAGCTTACAGCTGCTCTTCAGGACTGGGACCAGAGCTCCACAGCACCTCGCTGCCTTTAGTCTCATGTGACAGTAACAGTCCGTGAAGGTGTGTAATCGTATTAAATCTGTGACACTTTTGTCCAAAAATGCTTCATTAAAAGTAGATTTTAGCTTGAGAGAGATGTCCACATGATCCTGAAGCTCTGAGGCTTGTTTCGCTCTTGTGACGTCACTGTTTCATTGTCAGAGCTTGTGACTGATGATGTGTCTGCTGCCTCACTGAGTTAGTTTGAATGATGTGCAGCTGAACTCTGGATGTTAGTGGAATGATGAGACAGAGTCACTGAGAAACATGAACTAGACAATGACAGTGTTTCTACCTGGTTCAGATGAATAATGTTATAATGACATAACTTAATAAATATCTTTCTCCAATCACATCATGTTACCAATTCTAAGAAGCATTACACGAGTACCAACCGTGACGTTAAGATGTTGTACTCTTTGTTTTACTGTCATGCTGCACAGTAACATCTGCTTTTAATGAAGCACTCCCAGACAAACGTGTTGTGGATCTAACAACAACGCACACCCTGTTGGACTTTCATTACACACACAACCGAATGTGCTGACATCATCCAGGTGTTTCAGTGCTGGTCCTGAACGGCCGCTGTCAGTTGTCCAACCCGCCACATGCTGCTGTGTTTGCCTTGTTTGAAGCTCAGGGCTTCATCAGGCTCCATCCACGTGACAGGTGCATAAACATGTGTGCGTGTTTGTAGGGAAGCTGGTTTCAGAGGAGGAGACCAAAGAGGAGTTCAAGATGGAGAGGGAACCTCCAGCTACACAAGAAGAAGGTACCAGTCTCTCCAGCCCTTACATGGGACATGTAAGCTGGAAAAAACGTAGAAAAAAATCTACTGGACTTGGTTTTAGGTCAGAGACCTTTCACCTCTCATCCAAGAGGCTTCGTCAGTCCTCTGATGAAGATTTTTTTCTACGTTTTTTCAGCTTACTGTGACCTGGATGACGGAGAATCTGCACAGACATGGGACATGTAACATTGCTGCTTCATCAGTCTGTCAGACATTCAGACACAGGCCGCTCCTACATTAACGTTCCTCACAGCTTCATACACACATACCCACGACTGTGACAAGCAAACCTCAGGGAAAACATGGAAGAGTTTTGAGAGAAGTGTTTCAACACGAGATGATGTTGTATATTCAAACCAAGTTTGTGTTTTTCTCCAGGTTTTGTGTTTCCTTTCTCTTCAGGCAGTAACTCATCAGTGAAGATGTCAGAGCGAACAGGCAGCAATCGGGACAAGGAGAGAGAGCGAGACAAGGAGAAGGGGGGAAGTGAAGGAGGAGGGAAGGAGGCAGAGAAGAGGAAGAGGAGTCGAGCGGCCGAGAAGCTGCTGTCCTCTTCTAACCCTGCAAGTCCAGGCGGAGTCAAGAGGAGACGCACCTGAGAGAAAGACACAGCGTGAGGAGGAGAGAGGGAGGGAGGTTATTAGACAGAGAAATAAATGAGTGAAGAAGAAGAGAAGTTGTCACAGGAATCAAACCTGCAAGCTTTTCACCATGTGACCAGCCTCTGTCTGATCGCCATGCTGCAACAGGAAACAGGTAGAGAAGAAAACATGAACCTCTCTGTTCAGCTCACTCCTTGGCTTCTCTGATTGGCCGCTTTACACCTGTCAGTCGACAACTGCTGCTTCGTCCCAGTGCCATTTCCATCATGTGATCACAGTGAGAGGAAGTGACATGTCGGGAGGCAGCAGCCTGAGTCCAGAGAGGTTTGAGGGCACAACTGAAGCTGGAGCACTGCCTGAGATCTGAGCACAGTGCAAACACGATGGGTTTTACTTGTAGTTTTTATCAATTAGTTGCAGTAGTCTCGGGTGTCACGTTCACTGAGGACCGTGGGGGCACGTCCCTGCTCACGTGTTTGTCCCCCTCCACTCTGTCTGGGTCTCCTGCAGTCTTCACTCTGCACTCACAGCCATGCTGTACTCACTGATCTGAGCAAAAGGAGGGCTGCTAGTAGTGGCTAATGTTAGCTGTGTTAGTACATACCTGGTTGTTTGAATAAAAATGTCAAAGTGACAAAGTTTGTGGATGTGAAAATGAAACTACACATCCCAAGTTGCATTTCAGTAAGAGCCGTCCAATCAGTGCTCGTTTAGCTCTGCACTCCTGTAACACTGTCAGACTGGATGGTTTCAAAAAGGAAAATCTGTTTTCTATTCCAAATAACTTTCTGCCTAGTTAAAACCTGGAGCCTACATTACCCACAATGCAACTTGTGAGTCTGATCAGAGATTCAAGTGTGTTTTGAGCATTTAGTCAGCTGATGGGTAACATCTGTAATCGATGTTTTTTAATCTATTGATGTGAGGAGCTGATTGATAACAGGCTGTTCAGCTGTGTGTGCCAATAAAGATGAGCTCAGTAGATTTACTTAGGTCAGGGGTGCCCACACTTCTTCACCGTGCAAGCTACTTTTCAAATGACCAAGTCAAAATGATCGACCTACACACACACACACACACACAGGTATGAATGAGTGTCGTAGTTGTTATGAACAGTCTAAAGTGCCGCTCCACGTTTCCCTTCTTCGGAATAGTGATGGTAGATCAAGCAAACGCATTTCGAATAGAACGTTGCTTAAAAAAAAGGCCTCCCATTCCACATGGAATGTTTCGGTACGTTTTCGGTTTCTTACTTGATTCGGCCCCCCCACTCATTTTATACCCTTTAATTCGAAGGCTGACAAGGTAGTCAAGTAGCAAATGGATGATAGGCTCTATATGAATGACTGGCACTTTGTGCTTTTCCTGGTAGGGGTCGCCACAGCATGTTAACATTTGGCTCGTGTTTTACATCTAATTTATTTTTGAATGGCACGTGATCTACCAACACTACCTTTGTGATCTACGTATTGGGTACCCCTGACTTAGGTACTGTAAAGAAATGCAGTTTAGAGGTTCTCAAACTTGACCAATTGTGTTCTCTTCCACTTTGTGTTACATTATAATCTACATTATTGTACTTCTTGCTCCACTGCACTTGTTTGACAGGTACTTCTCAGTGTAAGGTCACATCATCTCCACTTTGACCAGGCACAACATTAAAATACTGCTGTTAAAGCCTCAGTCACACAACAGGTACATAGTGATGTAAATTAATTGGCAACATATCTGGTCATTTTAGTCATTTTAATGTCAGTGGTCCCAGTTTCTCAGATGTGGCAGTTCTGTCAGTGCGAAGTGAACCTTTGACAGTTTACAGTGAACAAAGTAACTAATAATGAATAATGTTATAATCAGCAGCCTAATGAAAACGATTGGTAGATGTAGCCATAAATAAGTGATGCAATAACACATGTCACCAGTCTGCATAGTGAATACTTCTGTTACTATAAACTATGAATACTTTGGTGCTTTGTGTAAAAGGATTTTTACTTCAGTTCCTGCTTTGAATACATCTTAGGTCACTAACAACAGAAGAGGTCACAGGAAGGTTTTGTACCAAACAGCGGTTCACTTCAGCCTGAGCCCGCAGGGCGGAGAGCAGCAGATGATCTGGTGAAGGAATAAAAACACACTGCAAAGGCTGCTTTGACTTTTTCATGTGTTGTGTTCGCTCATTTTTTATTCTGGATGTTTACACAGATGTGTTCAGTGACAAAGACTCTGGGATGAAGGGCATTAGAACATCATTTCTCGACTGACAGTGTTGAGCTTGGTTTTCGTTTCCGGGCCACGTTAGAGTTTCCTGTTTGGGTCGGGTCGTGCAGACCTTTAGACGCATCGACCCTGATCAGCCCGGTGGCGCTGCCACGAGGGGGCGCTGTCCGCCTGCAGATGGAAACGGTGCCGCTCACTCATTTAATTTGCCAAGTTCCTCATAAACAGCAGTTCATCCTTCAGACGAAGCAGCAGAGGCGTCATGTCCAAAGCTGGCTGCTGACACTGGTTCTGTTTCTTTACACTTTCATGTTTCATCAGTCAGTGTTTCCCTCAGTAGCTTGTTAAGCTGAACAGAAACTGGATCCCTCCAGCTTCCATCTGTTCTTTTAAGTCTGGAGGTGCTGCAGTTTAGCTAAAACTGACATGTGGTTTCACTGCATCACCCTCATCACCCTTCTGCTGCACTTCCGTGTGTGATCATTGCTAAAACCAGCCACACACACACACTCACTGTCGCTCATTGGCATAAGTGTATAAATTAAATTCTATGTTTATTACTGAGGTCATAGTTAAAGGTGGTGGTGTACTGGGCTACATGATATCCAGAGGTGTCCCTAATATTCTGACCCTCTCATGTGTGTAGCTGGGGAGGACAAGAATATAGAGACATCTCTAAATGTAATGTAGTCCAATACAACACCACCTTTAACTATGACCTCAGTGAGAAACATATAACTGTATTTATACATTTTTGACAAGTTCCACCAAAAACTGAAACACGTTGAGCTTCATAAACACAGATGTTAAGGTGGAAGTGTTGAAGTGCATACAACTGTACATGTGTACCTAATAAAGTGGCCAGTCAGTGTATATGTAGATGATCAATGTGACTACCTGCTGCAGCCACAGCAGCTTCTGCACTAAAGAAGATGCAACGTAATATTAAGACGCTGTAAAGATAAATACCACCTCTAACTAAAAGCAGGGGAAAGGAACAACACAGTCTTGTTATTAGTGAAGAAACGAGTTTTAAAAAATGTTATAATGAATAAAAACGTTGTATTTTTCCAGGAGAGTCTTTTAGAATTGAAATCCCTGTTTTGACCCAGTCTTAGACAAAATGGCAGCGTAAACTGTTCAACAAATAAACAGGAGCAGCATTTAGAAAAGACCAAGCAGAGGAGGAAAGTCATGAAAAAAATCATTTTTTGAGTTTTAATATAATCTGTGTGAGTCCTGACCAGAAGACAGGATTTACTGTTGCACATTCGAGTTGCTCTGCATGTCTGTCAGAGAAACAAAGGTCAGGTAAAGGTCAGTCAGTGAACAGACACATGGTTTTAAAGGTCAACTGCAGGAACCCAGCTCTTATCTGCTGGTCGGGTCTTTATGTCTGTTATACGTTCCATTATTCATCTAAGCTGTCTCCCTAAAGGGGCTGCTACAGCAATTAACATCCCTTTAAAACAGCTGCGATTAGTAAGTAACTACCATTTTTCTTCAGATACAGACTAGGGTCAAGTTCCAGGTCCAGTACAGGACTGCACAAAAAAATGGAATTATATCAACAATGATTCAAATAATTTACATTTGAACCGGATGAAACAATAAAATAGAACAAAGTATATAGAAATGGCACCAAATACTGTACTGGACTTCACCACATGTCAGAGACAAACCGTGTACTTTTTACTACACTACATGTACCTGATAACTTCAGGTCCAGAACCAGATGAACCAAACCAAACCCAGTAGAACCATCAGACTCTATTGATCCCAGTAGGAAATCCACCAGCTACCCAGCAGGATGGAAAGTACTTCCCAGTATAAGTATATAAGGTAGTTACCATCAGCTCCACCTTTACCAGCTGCAGCATTAAAGTGATGGACACAGTAATTAGTCACTATGATCCAGTATCAGAGACGTTACTGGGACACGGGCTGGGACACAAGAATCACTGCTGGTACTTCAAGTGGCCTAGGCTATATTTTGATGCTAACACCTTTGTACTCTTACTGCCGTACTGATGACCAGAGGATATTACACCAGGCATTGTCGCAGCTCTCTTCGCATGGTTTCATCAATTGTCCGAAGCAGCGGCGCAACAGCGCCCCCTCGTCCTAAACGGTGACAACCAGTCAGTGTGTGGTGAAGAAGGGGAACTGCAGGTTGACAGCAGAGGGAACAGACTCAGGTGAAACTGATCTCCATCGGTTTCGCACAGTGTCACGTTGCTTCCTGCTCCTTCATCCTGTGACTCCATGTCAGAGACAAACTGTGTACTTTTTACTACACTACATGTACCTGATACCTTCAGGTCCAGAACCAGATGAATCAAACCAAACCCAGTAGAACCATCAGACTCTATTGATCCCAGTAGGAAATCCACCAGCTACCCAGCAGGATGGAAAGTACTTCCCAGTATAAGTATATAAGGTAGTTACCATCAGCTCCACCTTTACCAGCTGCAGCATTAAAGTGATGGACACAGTAATTAGTCACTATGATCCAGTATCAGAGACGTTACTGGGACACGGGCCTGTTCACAGAATCACTGCTGGTACTTCAAGTGGCCTAGGCTATATTTTGATGCTAACACCTTTGTACTCTTACTGCCGTACTGATGACCAGAGGATATTACACCAGGCATTGTCGCAGCTCTCTTCGCATGGTTTCATCAATTGTCCGAAGCAGCGGCGCAACAGCGCCCCCTCGTCCTAAACGGTGACAACCAGTCAGTGTGTGGTGAAGAAGGGGAACTGCAGGTTGACAGCAGAGGGAACAGACTCAGGTGAAACTGATCTCCATCGGTTTCGCACAGTGTCACGTTGCTGCGACATGTTGGTGGATTTAATGTGGAAGAACCGAAGTTTGAGCCAGTGACGTAAAATAAACTGCACAGAGTTAAAGCGCTGTCCGCTGGCGGTAGGAGTCAGCTGCTTGCTAATGGGAGCCTACCAGTTTAAACAAGCAGTGATAGTGGGAAGGGAAACTAAATCAAACTGAACGAGCCTGTCAGCGGGAGTTCTGGGCGTTGACTAGCTCACTTTGAGGAAGGAAAGAAAAATGAGATTCAGCTTCAGCTTCAAATAAAGTGAGTCATATGTTCTGCCTGTTCTTCACTTGAGGACTTGTTGGCTGTAGCTGCTGATGTGTGTACCTGTAGCCTACCTGCTGACCTGCTGACCTGTTGACCTGTGATGGAGGCTGTGTTGTGGCCTGCTTGTTTGCTCAGGCTCATTATTTTCAGTTAAGCTGTTGTAAATGTCTGTGCACAAGGTTTCCACCTTGCTCACTTCTGCCCAGTCAGCTACGTTGTGTAAAACCAGGAGGCCAAACCCAGAGGAAGGAACCAAGGAACAGCATGATTAGGAAGGGAGGAAAAATAAAATTAGGAATAAGGAAAGGATAGAAAGGAGGAGCGTGGGAAGTAGAAAAGGAAAGAAGGAATAGAATGATAGGAACAAGGAAAGGAAATAAGAAAGAGAGAAGGATGTAGATGAGTAAAGAAAGGAGGATAGAAAGATAAAGAAGGAGACTGGGAAAGAAGGAAGAATGACTGAGGAACAAGGAAAGGGAATAGAAGAGGAGGGAGGAAAGAAGAAGAGTGACCTGACAAGGAACAAGCATAAGAGGAAGAAAGGCAGGAGTCCTGGTTTTCTGGGAGGGGAAGAAACAAGTGTGTGACTGAGAGGAAAACAGAACAAACGAGTGTGAGAACGAACGACAGAACTGCTGCTGAATATTCATGAACCGCTGTGAGTTCCCAGCACCGGGTGTGTTCACTGGCAGCATGTTTATTCATAACTCATCTCATGTTTATTCATACTGGATTAAGTAAACAAGTGGGCAGGCGTATTCACACACACACACACACACACACAGGTCCTGCTGGTCAGCTGTCAAACACACACATCTGTGAGTGCATGTGTGAGACGCTTGTTTGTGGGGACCTCTACAACTTGTTTAACTTAAATGTTCCCGTCTCAGGCCTCAGTGATCTGTGTGTTGCTTCCCGTCCGTTTGTGTCAGCGCCGTGTACCCGGCTCCGGTGTGAACACCACTCAGCTCCTAAACTACCACACATGCACAGATGTAACTGAAATGTGAGCCATGTGTGCACAACAATAACAACCAGGTGGTGTGTGTGATGGTCAAATGGCCCAGTTTCCTCCCAAACCACTGGGTTATGATATGTTCCTCCCAGTTTGTCCTGATCAGAAGCTTCTCCATAAACGTCCACCACATGTGAAACGTCCTGGTCTCTCCACTGACCCCGTCACTGTCGTCGCTCTCCTCCATGTTTATTGTTACCGGTCTGTGAGGGGCTGACGCCGAATGATGACGACAGGTCGTATGAGCAGAGGAGGAGACGTTAAAACGACCACATGAATTCTGATCAGACTGTTCTGATGGTGCCGGAGACAGGGGTTCCTAATAAACTGACAGCTGAGTTTATGCGTCTGTCTGATTCATGTAGTGACGGCAGTAAACTGCACAATGTTCCCTTCCAATGAGCTGATGTGTCTCTGATGTGTTGCAGTTCACAGTAGTCCCGTGTTTCTCCCTGCTGATGATGGGAATCACGAAGGCAGCAGTAACAGTTTAGTTGGACCTCGCTAACCCGCTCCTGGTGCAGCCCTGCTGGTGCTCCGTTCTAAACCTGAGTCCAGCGTCCTGGGAGCATTTTGGCTCCAGTTTGTTTCTGTGACCGGGTTGGACCTCACACCACACACTGACATCACAGTTGGCCTGAGTGTGTAAGCTGACATGACAGGTGATGTCATAAATGCTTCCTGTCGCTGGCATGATGGGATTCCTTCTTCAGGTGTTGTTCCTCTGACGCCTGAGAGCTGAGACAGATTTAGACATTTGTCTGTCCGTGTTTCCAAAAAAACTGTCCACACATACACACACACACAC